AGCAGCATAAGAATCCCGTTGGACCATGACTGCAGTGGTCTTAGGGGACTTTGAACTTTGGCTTTTGAACAGTGTTGGAACTATTAAGATTTTGGGGACTCTTAGAGATGAATGCAATTTGCATTATGAGATGACCATGAGCCTCTGAAGGCTGGGGTGAAATGCGCCTGCATTGTTGGATATGAGGAAACACTTCCCCGGGCAGCGCTATGTGAGCACAGTACCTCAGAGGCTCTCTCTTCCTAAAGGAAAGTGTTTCAAAGGAATTTATAATTTTACACCCAAGAGCCTTTAATGGATGAAGTCTGGCCGGTTCTTGAGATGTCGTCAATGCATCTTCCCATTGTTCCAGTGCAGAGTGTTTAACTTCTTTTGAATGGGGCTATCTCTTGAACTAACACATACTCTTTGTCTACAACTTTCAACACAGAACTTTTCTGACAATACTGAACATTTTCCAAATCCTTCTTCCCTGCTTTTGTGCTTCTAATTCTCACTGTGAATCTAGCTAAAAGTGGCCAGTACCATGCCACAGCCTGAATTTTATGCCTTCTTAAAACTTCCTCTGCTAAAGTGAGGGCATGGTTCAAATGATAGAACTCTTGCCTAGCAGGCTCAAGGCCCTGAGTTCAAACCCCACTACCATTTTTTAAAAAATCAATTATCACCAGGAGTGGTGCCACACATCCTGTAACACCAGCTACTCAAGAGGTGGAGATTGGCTGGATCACAGTTTGGGGCCAGCCTGGGGAAAAAGTTAGAGAGACCCTATCTCAACAAAAAAGCCACAAGTGGTGGTTCCCACCATGTGGGAGGTATAGGGAGGAGGATTGCAGTCTGAAGCCAGTCCCAAGAGAAAGAAGAACAAAACCCTGGGTAAAATTAATTAAAGTAAAAAAGGATTAGGGGTATACCCAAATGGTAGAATGCCTGACTAGTGTGAAGCCCTGAATTCAAACCACAGTACAGCCAATATTTTTTTTCCTGTGCCAAAGTAATTACTTCATTTCTTTTGAATTAGTCTCATTCAAAGTTTCAAGACAGATATAAAATGTACATAAATTATTTCCCAGAATCACCCATTAAGCTCTGCTTACAGCATTGTAGCTCTTCTCTAGCCCACATCCCTAAACGTTTTCAAATTCCTTCCATAAATGAGTTCCAAAGGCTAAAGAACCACACTGCCAGGTTTAGTCACAGCAAGTTCTGACTCCTGGTACCAATTTTCTGTACTAGTTAGACTTTTTTATTATTGTTGTACTGGGGGTACATTGTGACATTTACTGAAGTTCTTAATACTAGTTAGATTTTTGTCATAGCAAATATCTGACAGAAACAACTTAAGGGAAGGATTTTATTTTGGCCCAGAGTTTCAGAGTTGGTTGGCTCAGTGCATTTAGGGAGAAAAGGGACCAGAAAGAGTCAGGGATAGGACACCCCCAAGGATCCATTCCCAGTGACCTACTTTCTTCAGCTAATTTCCAGAATCTCCCAAGATAGTGCCACCAGCTTAGGACCAAGCATCCAACACATGACCCTGTGGAGGACATTTCATATTTAAACTCTAACAAAGAGGCAGTAAAGTTTGGTGTATCTTCTACATGTTTAGGGTTTGGCTTTCCCACTGACTAATTGTACCATATCAATCCAGTTCTTTCATCTCTTGCAACCTCAGTGTTTTAATCTATAAAACAGTAATAAGTAGTACTTTCAGATTGTATGGTTAAATCAGACAATCCGTGTCAAGTATTTAGCATAGTAAGGGTTCAGTTGATGCTAGCTATCAGGATACTAAAAATTAGGAACTTTTAATTTTTTAAGTCATTAATTTGGTCAAAAATGTTTATTGCAGCTTGTATGTGCATGAGCAGAGAACTGTATTGGTGATGTGAATAGTGACAGGTAAAAGAGACTTGTCCCCATTCTCATAAATCTTACCATCTAGCATGAGAGATAGCTGGGAGTCAGGAAAAATAACATGAATAAATATATAATTACAAACTGTGAAATGTTCTATGAATGAAAATACTGTAGGCAGAGTGGCTCAAGTGATGAGTGCCTGCCTAGCAAGCATGAAGCCCTGAGTTCCAACCCATGTACCACCAAAAAAAAAAAAAAAAGGAAGAAAGAAAGAAAGAAAATACCGGGGACTGTAAGAATTTATAAAAGGGACACTGAACTAGTTCAGGGAGATCTTCTTTGAGAAAAGATACTTGTGGGCTGGAGTGTATGTAGTTCAGTGGTAGAGTACTCACCCAACACATGCAGGCCCTGGGTTCAATTCCCAGTACACCCCCCTCCATACAACACTTGACTTTAATAATTGAACACCTGCCACGTAACAGTATATTAGCTTGCTAGTGATACCATAGCGAAGTACCGAAGACTAAGTGGCTTAAATAATAGAAAGTAATTTTCTCAGAATTCTGGAGGCTCCAAGTCCAAGATCAAGGTATAGGCACCTTGAGTTCTTTTTTCTTCACTTGTAAATGGCAGTCTTCTTTGTCTTCCCATGGAATTTCCTTATACCTCACTATATCTATATTTCTTTTTCTTACAGGAACTCATATTGTATTAAGAGTCACACTAATGACCGTATTATTACTTACTTTCTTCTTTAAGATCTTAACTCCAAATACAGTCACACTTTGAGGTGGGGGTTATAATTTTAAGATATGAATTTTGGAAGTCACAACTCTGCCCAGTAAAGTCAGGAACTAATCTATACTCCTTATATGCATATTTTACAGTAACTTTATTCTTGCTATTTTATAGATGATAAAAACTGAGGTACAGAGGGTTAAGCAGTTGCCTACGTTCATATACAATATCTAGAAATCAACAGAGCTGGGACCTGAACCCAGATAACCACCCACCAAAGGCTTATGAAGTAAAGAATGAGTTCAAATGGATTATAGGGAGCTTACAAGACAGAGGAGTATATGCAAAGGCACTGGAGTGGAAGACAGCTTGACACATTTAAGAAAATGAAAGAGTTGAGCAGAGCCAGGCACTCGTGGCTCATGCCTGTAATCCTAACTACTTAGGAAGCAGACATCAGGAGGATGGTGGTTCAAAGTCAGCCTGAGCAAACAGTTCTCGAGACCCTATCTCAAAAAAACTCATCACATAAAAGGACTGGTGGTCTAGGCCCTGAGTTCAAACCTCACTACCTTAAAAAAAAAAAAAAGGATGAGCAGATGATGCTAGAGAAGTGGATCATGGCAGCTCTTACATCCCACAGTGAGGGTAAGGGTTAGGATTTGGGTCTTTATCCTAAGAACAATGGGAAACAATTGTAGGATAATTCTACCTGCTGAACAGAGAACCCTCCAAGGGAAGTGTAGAGATCTTAGTTTCACTTTTTTACAGTCAAGGAATCTGCGATTTAACCTATTTTTCAATATATTATACCCTGGCTAAACCTCCCTGACATTCACAGAAAATTTTTTATTTATTTATTTTTATTATTATTATTCATATGTGCATACAAGGCTTGGGTCATTTCTCCCCCTGCCCCCACCCCCTCCCTTACCACCCACCAGAAAAATTTTTTTAATGGGACTAGAGTTTGAACTCAGGCTTTTGCACTTGCAAAGCAGGAGCTCTACTGCTTGAGCCACACCTCCAGTCTATTTTGCTCTGGTTATTTTGGATACGGGGTCTTGTGAATTATTTGCCTGGACTGGCCTTGAACCTCGATCTTCCTAGGATTACAGGACTGAGCCACCTCATATAGCTCATTCACAAATCTTAAAGGCAAAATGTGTATAGGGATGGACTGCAGCAGGTGTGAACTATTTAAAACAGGTGGATATGTATTTGAATGGGTAATGTAGCACAAGGGTGTTGTGTGCTATGCTGGGTTCTCCAGAGGCAATAGGAAAGTTCAGAATTTCAATTCTGCTCCAGGCCAAAGGTTTATTTTGGTCTATTAGCCAGCCTGAAGCAGAGAAATTCCAATTCAGCATTGTAACAATAAGGTCCAGAAGATTTGATGCATATTTTTAGTAGTTGTATTCCTCATATAATGCACATCCTATAAAATTCACCCCTTTTACCTTTACAATGATTTTTTGGTAAATATAGGGCATTAACTCTCACAATCCAATATAGGGGCATATCCATCACACCAAAAAGATTCCTAGAGCTCACGTGCAGTCAATTCCTGGCCTGTTCCCACCCAGAGACTCAGGTTTGCCTAATGATTTATGTGTTTTACTGAGTCGGAATGACTTTACAAACTCCAGATAACTCTCAAATGGAAGCCAGGACTAGGCTTTCAATGAATATGAATACGGGTATATATGTTCATCACTGTAGAAAAGTATGTCCAGACCGGTTTTGTATGGGAGGACTCCTTTTATTCATTCTCTGAACAAAAACACAGTTTGGGTGCCCAACATGGAACTTATAATCTAAACCAGGCAAAGCAGTAAGTGCCTTCCTCTAGAGTGCCTGCTTCTGTTTAGGACGTGAGCCCATCTCATGTACCAGCAGGTGACCAGCAATCTGCGTCCAAGAGGACCAGTCAATGCCTTGTGCGCCTGCGCAGCTCCGTGAGAGCCTAGAAACAGGTAACCAAACTCCCCGACTCTGCGGTTGGGAAGCCGCGGTTTTGGATGACACACTCAGAAAACCCAGGTCTGGCAGGTAACTCCCCCACCCCCTCGCTTCCCCTACTAGAAGTCACAAGGAGCGCGGAGATTAGCCCGCTGCAGGCCCCACCTGCGAAAGATGCACTATTTCCCTTAGCCCCACCCACACAGTCTACCAGACCGGGTTTCATTGGCTGGCAAGGAATTAGTCCCGCCCCTTTGAGTCGACGCCAACAGCCACGTATCACGTTTTACGTGTCTCCGGCCTGAAAGCGGAAGTACGCAAGACTTGGGAGCGCGGTGGCAACTCTGAGAGGATATAAATCGCCAAAGGGAAGTGGGGGGTTGGCAGACGGCATTGGAAGGCGCCGGAAGTTGTCGATTTGTGCAACGGTGGGGGAGGGGTAGCCAAGGTAGTTGACTTAGTGTAGCTGGGCGCCTGCGGAAGGCACGCTTTCGCTCCTTTCGGAGTGCCTGGTTCGGGCTCTCCTCCTCCGCCAAACATGGACTTCAGGGAAATTCTCCTGATAGCTTCCAAAGGACAAGGTGTCAACAATGTACCGGTAAGTAGCAGCCGGGGCGCCAGTGTAGGAGAGCCCGGTCTTCAAGTTCGGAATGTGTGGCTCGTGGAACTTCCAGGCAACTGCCTGTCGGCTCCGGGAGAGGAAAGACCTGAACGTCTTCTTTCTTTTTCTTGCGTTTATATTTGTAGGAATTTGGAGTAAAGAGGGGCTTGGGACGCGAGATGGGTGCCTTCTTGTGAGGGGTTTCGCCAGCCTACTTACCCCAGCAACACTGAGTTTGAGGTTCGGATGTTGGGGAAAAGCCGGCGAGAGATCTGAGCCTGGCCCCTAGTGAAATCTAGCGCTACCGGTGTGTGGCTTCGGCGTAAACTTCAGCCAAAGATTGAGGAGGAAGAATGCATGTAGGGAAGATCATGGGGTTTAGGAAATTTGCCTGATAGCCTTTTGGGCCTTTTGGCTGTTGTGTCGCCAGTCTTCGAGTCAAATGTTTAGTGATTCTTGTACAAGTTCTGTCATTCGCGGCCCCACCTACTAAACCCACGACGTGATCACCTAAGCCGAGATGTTCACCATTTGTGTTGGGAAGAGAACTTGAATCAATTCTAGTCACCCGAAGGGTGAGATGGTTAGCCCGGGGTTAGCTCAGTGTTTGCTAGCAAGCATGGGGCCCTGGGGTCACTCCCCAGTGCGGGGCGGGAGAGGACTTTGTGAGCTAATACCAGTTTCCGTTTGCTTGTGGCCTTCCAGATTTCAGTCTTTGTTTGAAATCTAGGTCCCATTTGCTCAGTAGATGTTTGCCAACTCATTGCTAATTCCTACAGCTGCATAGGGCTCAAAAGCTAACTGTTAAAGTGGCAGAGTGTGTGTGCTTTGTGGAATTGTAGCTGTTTTGCATAAACTAGTCATATCTGGATCCTCAGATGGTACCCGCAGCGCAGCTGTAAATCGATAAGTTGCATTGTGATACCTGTGGTTTTGAGCAGTGAGGTGTTGAACTCAAAACATCTCTCAAAATTATTTCAACTGGAATTTATTGAACTCTCATATGTACTCTGTATTTCCTAGATTTTTGTATATTGCAATATGTTTTTCTCTCCCGCCACTTTTCTTGTCGGATCTGGCCAGTTGTTTGCCCTTTTTGGATGCATTTATCTGACGTTAATAAAATAAACGAGTAAAACTAGTCTATATCAATTTATTTTATATATAAAATTGGGATTACTTTTAGATAGTTTATTTTATATATAAACGGATATACAGCCATCTCCTCTCCTAAGTACTCCTAATAATCGTTCCCCTAAGCCTCGAGTCTTAAGTTCTGCTATGGACTCACAACTTTGAAACCTTGAACAGAATTGCTTTATACATGTGTAAATTTTCCAGACACGTTATTATTGAGTCTAATAACCATTCATCTTTGCATAATTTGCTCTGAATTTCAGTAGAAGTCAAAGATAGATAATACTAGCTTCGAGGTCCAGGAATGTTCTTTGGAAGAATCAGAACCAAGCTAGTCATTTCTTATTTTAAAAGCTAGTAGTTGCCAAGAGAAAAGAGTGGAAATTTTCAAAACATGTATATTTCAGGATATGTATGTTACCTATCTACTGGATATTGCAATAACAAGAAGTGAAAAGGAAAATTAGTGAAGTAATTTGACAGCTATATATTTTATGAATCCCATCCTCTGAATGTTAGTAAACCTAGAACTTTCATTTAGTTTGAAGGATTAAGATCCTTTTCTTAGCCAGGCACTGGTGGCTCATGTCTGTAATTCTAGCTACTGAGGAGGCAGAGATCAGGAGAAGCCAGCGGGACAGAGACCCTATCTCGAAGGGAAAAAAAAACCACACACACACAAGAAAGGGCCGAGGAGTGGCTCAAGCCATAAGAGCATCTGCCTAGGAAGTGTGAGGCCCTGAGTTCAAACCCCAGTGCTACTCTACCCCCACCCCCCCAAAAAAAATCCTTTTCTTTTTACATGGAATGAAAGTCACAAAAGAAACTATTGTAGTATAAAACAAGTTAAATAACAATTAAATTTAATCCATGATCTTGCTATTACTTGACTCATTTACTGTATTTACAAGAATATTAACACATACCTATGCGGCCATACCTCATATTTAGTATACATTAACAAAAGCCATATTCATTTCACATGTGCTATTTATTTATTCATTGAAGTGCTGGGGAGTGAGCCCAGAGCCGCTCACATGCTAGGCAAGTACTCTATCACAGATCTCTAATCCCAGCCCCTCATATTTCCAAAGGAAATAAAGCATAATTAATATGGTTGAGGTCTCGCTCTCTTTTTTTTTTTTTTTTGTGGTAGTACTGGGGTTTGAACTCAGAGCCTCAAGCTTGCCAGGCAGGTACTCTTAAAGCTTGAGCCACTCCACTAACCCCCCTATTTTCTTTTTAAAAATATAACTAACGTATTGTACAGTGTAACGTAATCACAAAATGAGTATCCTTAAAACTACCATTCAAAGCATTTCAAGAATACTCTCTTTTCTCTCCCTCTGCACTATCCATACAACCTGCTTGAGCCACAGAGGCTTTTCAGTAATTGACAGCAAAGCTACATCTTTTGTAGTGATTGGTTCTTTTTCGTCTTTTAGCCATCTTTTCTCCTCAACTTCATAGCTGACAGATTTTACATTTCAGAGTTCTTACTACAGAAAGCAAATGTAATAACTAGTGATGATGACTAGATTAAAATCCTAATACTGAAACACCTGTGCAGACACTTTGGCCTCTTTTGTAGAACTTTACGTTTAGAGGTATCTCTTGTATTTGGCTTGAGAGCTACATGTTGAATATCTCTTATTTAAAATGCTTGTGATCAGTACCAGTTTGGATTTCAGGGGTTTTTTTTCAAATTTTGCAATATGTGCATAAACATAATGAGATATGGGGATGAGAGCCATTTCTAAACACGACATTCATTTATGTTGTTTCCTATGTACCTATTCACAGTCTGAAGATAATTTTATAAAATATTTTTAGTATGTTTGTGTCTTGATTTTAACCCATCATATGAAGTCACATGTGAAGTTTTTCACTTGTGGTTTCATGTCCAAAAGTTTGGGATTTTGAAGCGTTCTAGATTTTCACATTAGGGATGCTGAACTTGTAGTAACATTTTTCTGATTGTTCTTTTCCTTTTTAAATAAAACAGTTGTCTTCATAATGTTTTAGTTAAAACAAAGGTAGGATTGCATCATACCTAGAAATATTAGGCACACTCTTATTTCCCAGTGGAAAACTGAATACAGAATAACAGCTGATCAAGGTGATGTAACTAGTCATTATCACTGGCTTTGTTTTATTTGAAGGAGAGAAGATATTTTTGGTAACCTTGCATTTGATTTTTCTCCCTGGGCTTCAATACCAAAAACAAAGTAGTTGTCTTATTTTGATAGAATAAAAGCTTAGAATATGGATTCTTTTTGTGGTTTTTTGTTTTGTTTTGGTGGTGTAGTGGGGCTTGAACTCAGGGCTTGGTGCTTACTAGGCAGGTGAGGATATGGATTCTTATAACTTTCATATAGCCATAATTTATGGCCTATACTACATGAGTCAAGTTACATGGTCCTTCTCACAGACTATGAAAATCTTCCCAGACAAGATTCTGAGCAGCCCTTTGGTACCGGATTTATAAGGATTTGAGGTCTGTAGTCCCTTGGGGATAAGAGCCATGGTTACTGAAAATGGAGTCCTGTGGTGGCAAATTCCAATGTCTTTAAGGGCTAAGTGGTTCTATATAGTCAAAAGAAACCTGTGATTTTGATGGTAGTGCTTCCTTTTGAAGAATAGTGTGGACAGACAGAAGTTTCTGCACAAAACATTTTCCTCTGGGTAATATTTGATCTATAAAGTGGATGGCTCTCCACTTAGATGATTTGTCCAATGCCTGAAGAAGCTTTGCGTCTCTATCCTAGAGTGGTGCTTCCCAACCAGTGTTTAGAAAGAGGATCTTTTAGAAAATACTGACCACCTTATCCCCACAAAGATTCTGTTATTTCTCTTCTGCGTTGTTACTTAAAAAAATCTCTCTGATTAAGGATAATAGCAATAACATTTACTGTTACTCTGTACCAGGTACTGTCCTAAATACTGTATTGTTAATTAATTAAATCACAATAAGCATACCCAGGAGGTTATTTTACAGATTTACATATGAGGAAACTGAGGCACAAAGAGGTAAAGAAATTGCCCAAGGTCACAGCCAATAAGTGATAGGGCTAAGTTATTTGCAGAGTAGAGAATCTAATCCAGGTAGACTAACTTCAGAGTTCTTGTTCTTCATAATGACTTGGACGGAGTGAGGAAAGTACATTAAAGATGGGGTGGTGAGAAGGATTGTCACTTATATAGCTGAACTCATTCAACTCTTTGCCTCCAATTCCTGTGTAATATAGCTTTAGGTAATAACACTATTGGCGTACCATTCTCAGTATATAGTGAAGTCCAATGGGAGAGAAATGGAAACACCAAACAGCATTCAGAAACTCGTGGATAGTTGGGTGCTGGTGGCTCACTAGCCTGTAATCCTAGCTACTCAGGGGGCAGAGATCAAGAGGATCTAGGATCTAGGTTTGAAGCCAGCTTGGGCAAATAGTTTGTGAGACCCACCTCAAAAATACCCAACACAAAGAAGGGCTGGCAAGTGTGAGGGTACCTGCCTAACAAGCATGAGCCCTTGAGTTCAAGCCCCAGTACCACAAAAAAAAAGAAACTAACTGATGGATAGAGAGATATGTTATAGTGAGAATACTTTTTTTTTTGTGGTACTGGGGTTCTAATTAGTGAGAACACTTTTGAACCTGAGTCAGGAGACCTGAATTCTGATGGGGGCTCAGCTATAAACTGTATAAATGAGTGCCAGTAAATATCCAGTTGTCTTGTCTTTTTAGGCCATTTCTCTCTCTCTTTTTTTTTTTTTTTTTTTTTTTTTTTTTTTTGGTGGGACTGGGCTTTGAACTCAGGTCTTCGTGTTGCAAAGCAAGCACTTTACTGTTTGAGCCATATCT